TGGATTTATGGATGTCAAGTTTGGACAAAAGATCTCTAACCTGATCCTCCTTGACCAAGGGAGAGTCTTCCTTTCTCCAGACTTCCTCTCTTGTCTCCAAGGTCTGCAATTCCTGAGGACTGGCCTTAGCAGTGAAGACTGAAGCAAAGGCAGCATTCAATAACTCTGCCTTCTCTGTATCCTGTATTATGTATTATAATTCTCTGTATTACGATCTCCAAATAATTTAATTGCACATCTTAATTTCGATAAGAATTATTTTTTGAGGCGATAGCCTTCCTTCAGATGCTATAAACATTACTTGAATATTCTCCTTATGAGCAATGATTTTTAAATCACGTATTTGCATTTCTGCTATATTACCTCTCTTTCAAATCTGCCTGCAGTAAAGAAAAAAGGTTGGAAGTCCCCAAAACAGAGCCCAAAGCAAGTGGGGAAATACATTTACTATAGAAAGAAGAGCAATAAGAAGGGTTCTGTGCAGAAGAGAGCGCAGAAACAGGGACTTTCAAAGGAACGAATAGTGTCAGGGTAGGGAAGAACATGCATACGCACTTCCCTCCTAAGACAGGTGAATTGCCTGCAAAGGCAGGGACAACATAGATCCTAGTGGCCTGAACCACCCTATACATGGTTTGCAGGATTATTTCATATTTCCAAAGTGCTTCTACAATCACAGAACTGTATAAAGCCATTTTGTCCTGATACGCAACTAGTGTTAATGGGGACATCTACTGAAAAATTAAAAAAACCCAACAACAACAGACAGCTCTTTGTGCTTAAAAATGAACAAGTAGATAAGTAGGAAGACAGAAAAGTCATGTTAGTGCATCACAGAAAAAGTAGCATCAGGTACATGTAATAACTCCATGTTTTCCCTAGATATCTATCAGAGAGACAAAAAACGAGTCGATGTTATCTGCGTTTGTTGCATCATTTTTCACTTGCTTCATCAAAGATATCTCCCTTCTAGGAATTAAATGAACTGCTTATAACTTGCCTGAGAATTGGAGCACAAAAGAATTATTTTGTGCAAAAGAGATTTTAAAGTTCTTTTTTCTCCTCCATTTGCCCAAGCACAATACAGAAAATGATACAACCTCCTTCAATATGAACTTCTAATAATTAAAAGTATTTGGCTAATGCTTCAAGTTTTAACTTATGTATGCTTTTCAAGGAAATAATCGTTGAAATAGAATCAGGATTTCTAAGCTAAAAAAAAAAAAAAAATTAGTTGACCTCCAGAGAGATTTCAATTAGCAACACTCAAATTAATCTTCCTTAACGAACTTCTCAGGCTATTTAACAGGCTGTTAAGAGCTTCAGCCTACCACAGCTAGTGAAAGGACCAGCACCACAGCAGTGCAGATGGGAGGTCAAAAAAAAAATCTTTCCAGATGGAAAGGAGGACACTTGAGCAGCCTCCTTGCTTGGTAAAAAGCAGCCTCATGAATGATTTGGTAACACTCAGACCCCATTACATATGCTAGAGTATTAAAGGGAATATTCCTATTTGTGGGTTTTCTCACACTGCCTCTGCTTACAGAATCAGAGACTTCTGTTGCTCTCCTTACTGTGCGTGACAGAAGAAAGTTATTTACTGGGTATCTGTCCTCGCAAACATCAAATGGGGATTATTCAGCACTCCCTTGGAAAGTTTATATTGCCCTGATACTCTGATCTCAAAGCAGCAATAAATCTCCAGACAAAGAACTCTCCTAAGAGCCCATTGTGCAACCTACTGTTATACTAACAGGACCCACAGAGAGAAAAATCTATATATAACCCTACAAAACAGGCCAGGTGTGTGACTGCAGGAGAGGCATTTCCCACAGGTATCTTTCTTGTCAAAAATCCACTACAGCCCTCTTCCAAGTTGAAAATCCCATCCGAGCATAACTCAAGAAGTTAGCCAAAAGTGACAATACTTGAGCAAATGCTCGCTTGTTCTTGGCGAGTCCAGCACGACTGTTTCTTTCCTGAGGCCCTTGAAAAGACGCAACCCATGTCGACATGCCTAGCATAACAGGTTCACCAACAAGAATGAAATATTTTGTCATTCGGCCCCTGCCCACCTCCAGGATAGCTGAGGTGGAAATTAAGCAGGCTACGTCCTTTCTGCTCACAGGATTGTAATAACCCTATATTGACTATAGCCTTCTGGTGAGAGGCATGGAAGGAGAAGGGCGTCTCTTACAGTATTCTCCCACATAAATACTATAAAGGGGGTTGTTGTCCTTGACTTTGCATAACTAATCATATACTCTTAATTCCTTGCACGAGTTCCCTTACTTGGCTGACACCTGCCTGGAAAAGCAGCGCCCAAGTCAGCACTGCAGCCTTGGGGAGGGTGCCCAAAGATCAGCTGCAGCGTTACTACTGACACCATTCCCTCTGCTGTTCCTCACAACTGTTTTGTACACTTGTGAAAGCAGAAGCAAAGGGTCAAGAAAACAGGAAGGATCATCAAGCTCGAATCTGCGTGCCATCAAAGCCAAGCATTCCTCCTGGCATTCGGACTACTCCGCTATCAGACTGTCTCTTCCCTGTACGCTTAGTACTACATCAGCTTAAGGCAATCTAGGAGGAAAGCACAG